CAGTCAGTTAGTTTTGAGTCTCTCATCTATGTATATATGTAAATATTCTATTTTGAGACTCGAGTGGCCTTTTTGGCCAGATGTGTATCATTTAAGTTGTTTATGTCTTTGCATGGCATTGAGTTATTCTGTTGAGTAGGTTTCCGCTGAGTTAAGAAAGCCAGGCCAAGGGTTCGCTTGGGGCCAGCAATGGTCTCTGAGTGCCGGTCCCGCCCAGGGTGTAGGCTCGGGGCGTGACATGTTTATTCATTCTAGCTTGGTAGCATTCATAATGCAATCCTAGGGGGCTTTGAGAGTTTTGTGTATTGTGTGAAGCTAGAGGAAGAATGTATGAGACACAAGTATTACTTTAACACTTGTGTGAACCTCTTTGTATTCAGAGTGAATTGTGTGAGGTTATTCTTCTCTAGATTTTATAGTGATTTTTTCATCTCCTCTTGTGGATGTAGATCGGTTGACCGAACCACGATAAATGTTTGTGTCTTTTGATATATTTCTTGTTTGTCTTATTACTCATCGTCTTTCAAGGTTTGCTTTGCTAGCTTTTGCATGACACCTAATTATTTCAGTCCCAACAAGTGACATCAGAGTCAGGTTCAATGGTTTAATGATTCAATGGTCGAACCATGTTAAAAATAAGTGTTCATCTTGACGGGTTTAGTTCTAGCCGTAACATATTTGACAGTAATGAAGATTTTTGTTGGAGAAATATTTTCAAAGATGTTTTCTGTGTTGATATATATATATATATATATATATATAGATTTTGCAGAGGAGATGCAAGGTATTGAAGATTATGTGAAGAAGGTGGATCAAATTTATTTTGTCAGAAATTTAGGCCAATGGAGATATTTGTTTAGTATTTGTCATGAATTTCTTATCATAATTGGGTTTTTTCTTTTAGAAAAAGGAAACCACAAAGTTTCCATATTTGGCTAGTTCTTTTTCTTGTAGGAAAATGTTTGACTCTAAAATTATATGTGTATTCCTTCTAGCCTAATAGCATTTACAATGTAGTCCTAAGGGGCATAGAGAGTTTTGTGTATTGCGTGTAGCTAGGGGGAGAATGTGTGAGACACAAGTGTTACTTTAACACTTGTGTAAACCTCTTTGTTTTTCCATTGAATTGTGTAAGGTTATTCCTCTCAATATTTTGTACTTTCTTTTATATAGTGAATTGCTCATATCCTCTTTTGGATGTAGGTCGGTTGTCCGAACTACGTTGAATATTTATGTCTTTTGGTATATTTTTCGTTTGTATTATTACTCATGGTCTTTCAAAATTTGCTTTGCTAGCTTTTGCCTGATACCTAATAATTTCAGTCCCAACAAAACCAAACGTGAAAGTTGTTTTCCAGCAGACAACTTTTCTAGTAGCTCTACTCTCGACTTGGATAATTTAACCAAAAAGGTACGCTTTCGGCCATTCTACATGCTGCCTATGTAGAGACATGTTTATCTAAAGTGGATTCTCTTTTTTGTAGTAGGTATCAAACCTGTTATGCCCATTGACTAA